TTTCTGACCTTGAGCCCTGACCCTGACGGCCCTGCCTCTGTAACCTTCCCTCCTCCTCCCGGAACTCCCCTTCCCCAGCTCTCTGTACACAGCCCACCTCTGGAGGGTGCTTGACCTGCCCCAGGTGGGCTCAAACATGCCCCACACACCCTAGGGAACCACAGTGAATCCCCTGGAGGAGGGGTGTGGAGAGGGGCCAGAAGGGGAGCCACAGAGGAGGTAGCCTATGAGCTTGACCTTGACAGCTTGGCTGCCACCAGCGCGAGGACACCTTCAGGGTGTGGATGTGGCTTCTCCAGGCACTGGGGGTCACCCAGCAGAGGTGCCAGTGGCGGGGGTGCACACAGTCGCCCCCAGCCTGGGGAACCAGCACCTGTCCCCATCACTCACCCTGCCCTCAGAGCCTGTCCCCCTGGTCGAGGCCCCACAGCCCCACCCCTCCATGCAGGAGTCCGGGCGCCGGCTCAGAGGCCCTCTGGGTGAGCGGGAGCCTGTACGGTGCCGGCCAAGGACAGCGGCCACTGGGAGAGTGGAGGCCCAGCAGGCTCAGGGGGCTTGGCCGGAGTCTCCGACTCTCAGAGCCTCACTAGGTGGCCAGGAGCTCCACACACCCGCCCCCCGTTTCCCATCTACCTCTCTCCCCGCTGCTTCACCAGAGCCAAGGAACGGCAGTGGATTCATTCAGACTCCATAGCAGCGGCCACAGACAATTCCATACAGAGCCAGACAGAGAGGGTGGGTGTTGGGCGCAGCAGCTGGCACACCTGCGTCCTACGGCAGAGCACCTGGGTCCCGGTCTTGATGCCACTCCTCACCCCAGGTTCCTGCCAGTACCCCAGGAGGTAGCAGGTGACAGCTCAGGTAGTTGGTTCCCTGCCACCACGTGGGAGACTTGGATTGAGTTCTAGCTCCTGGCTTCAGCCTGGCCCAGCACATGGCATAAGGGGTAAAGCTGCCTCCTGCCTCCTGCTGGCCTCCCATATGGGCGCCAGTCCCAGTCCCAGCTGCTCCACTTCCAATCCAGCTCCCCGCTTATGCACCTGAGAAACCAGAGGAACATGGTCCAAGTCCTTGAACCCCTGCACCTGTGTGGGAGACCCTGATGAAGCTCCTGGCCCCTGGCTCCTGGCTTGGCCCCACTCTGGTTGTTGTAGTCATCTGGGGAGTGAACCAGTGGATGGAAGATTCTCTCTCTTTCTCTCTCTCTCTCTCTGTAACTCTGACTTTCAAATGAATAAATCTTTTTAAAAAATCGTATCTCATCAGAGTGCCAAGGTTCAGGTCTTGGCTTCACTTCCTATCCGGGTCCCTGCTGACGGGGACCCTGGGAGGCAGCAGGTGTTGGGCCCCTGCCTCACACGTGGGAGAGCTGGGTCAAAGTGTGAGCTCCTGGCCTCAGGCTGGCCCAGCTGCAGCTGTCCCAGGCATCTGGGAAGTGAGCCCTGCATACAAGAATTCCCCCTCCCTCTACGAGTTGCTCTTCCTTTTCAATAAATGAAAATAACCAATAACATGTTTTAAATAATAAAAATACAAATATACTTAAAAAGGGCCCGGGGACGGCTGTGTCAGACTCTCCCGCAACGACCCAACTGCAGCACCATGTGCAGAAGCAATGCGGACAATGAGCAAACACAAAACAGGGCCATGTTTCCCTAGAACCACATTTACAGACACAGGTATTAATTCTGTATAATTTTCACATCATGGGATAGTCTTCTTCAATGTTTTCAGTCATTAAAAAATACACAACCATTCATAATCCACAGGCCATACAGAAAGAGGCAGGGGACTGGACTTAGCAGGGAAACAACCAACCTTGGGCCACACCAGCAGCCGGGCAGACTTCGCAAAACCCACGCAGAGTGGATGGCATGGCCAGAGAACCACAAAGGCCAGGCACGGGCAGGGGCATCCAGATGGCTCGGCCATGCACGGTGAATGGAAGAGTATAAGAAACGCCAGGAAGGGGCTGGTGCTGTGGCCTAGTGGGCCAAGCCTCTGCCTTGTGCCAGCATCCCCTGTGGGCACCGGCTCAAGTCCTGGCTGCTCCTCTGATTCAGCCCCTGACGATGCTGCCACAGAAAGCAGCAGAAGACGGCCCAAGTGCTTGGCCCCTGCACCCTCGTAGGGGACCCAGAGGAAGCTCCTGACTCCTGGCTTCGGATCAGCCCAGCTCCGGCTGTTGCGGCCACTGGGGGAGTGAATCAGCAGGTGCAAGACCTTTCTGCCTCTCCCTCTCTCCGTCTGTAATTCTACCTCTCAAATAAATAAATAAAGTTTTAAAAATTTTTAAAAAGACACACCAGGAAGTGATGACTCCAGAAGTCAGGAGGGGCGGAACCTCGGCGGGGAGGGAGGGGCGTCTTGGGTGGGGAGGAGGCCCAGGGGCTCCGCTCTGGGACTCTGGAACATTCTTTCTTGACCTGAGCGGTGGTTGCACGGGACATTGGCTGGAAGAACAGCGCTGTCCTTTTCTGTATATGAACTTGATTTCACAATGAGACAGAAGAAGGCAGTGACGAGCAGACCTATTACGATGGCACCTGAACCCACCTGACAGGCGTTTGTACCCGGCTGGCACGGCCGCATCCCACCCCGTCCTGGCACATCTCAGAGCTCTCAGCACTCTGCCTCCCAGCCTGCATCAGTGCTGTGCCTGTACCCACGCCCCTAACCCCTCTCCCTCCTGACCAGCAGGTGGCCGGACATGGCCCAGAGTTCTGGACAGGCAAGAAGAGGCAAGGAAGGGATGTTTATTGAGGACACTGAGTATCAGAGAGGTTAAGGAAATCTCCTGAGGTCACACAGCAGCCAAGAGAGGAAAGCAGGCTTGGACTCAGGCCTCGCCGGCGTCCGAGGCCAGGTACAGGCAGTGTGAGAGCAGGTGCGCAGCGGCTACCTGAGAGCCCCCCTTCACCGAGGGAGTAGCCGCTGCTGAGGCTGCCAGCTGCCCTGGAGTCTTCGAGAAAAGCCAAGTTTGCAGAGGGCTCGGGGCCAGAGGAGGGCAGGCCTGAGTCCCGGCTCACAACCAAGGAGGGAAAAGGGAGCAGGAGACGGCCCAAGATGCTGCCCCAGGGGGACTGGGGCCACTGGATGGGGGTCCGCTGGGGCCACTGGATGGTGGAGTCTGGAGTTTCGGTCGGCCCCGCCAGGCTGACAGGTGCCGAGTAGCACGCAGTCCCTACAGGCAGGCTGGACGTGATCATCATGCCCATTTAACAGGTGAGGCAACCGAGGCAGAACTCAGGCTGATGACTGCGCTCAGGACTCAGTGAGCCTGGACCTCAGCGGGGCCGCAGCGGGGTGGGAGCTGCGGGTCTGAGCTGGCAGCAGGCGGCTGGATGGGCCAGGCTGGGGAGGGGAGGGGGTTCAGAGGCCAGAGAGGCAGGAGAAACCCTGCAGGCTAGATAGAGATGGGGGGAGGGGCGTGCGTGTGCGTGTGTGTGCGTGCGTGTGTGTGTGTGCGTGCGTGTGTGTGTGTGTGTGTGCGTGTGTGCGTGTGTGTGGTGGGCCGGGGAGCATCAGAGTGCTTTGCCTGCTTGTGAAAGAGCAGAAAGTTTCTCTTTTGTACAACATTGTTGCGACACCGCAGAAATCTGGTTTTGTTTGCAGTGAGCCTGTTACAAAAGAGCTTCCCCGCAGAGGGCAGGGCCTCTCCGCCCTGGGAGGCGGCCTGCAGTCCTTGGGGAGGCGGGACCACACGGACAGAGATGAGAAGTCGGGAAGATTCCGTTAAAGTGACCAAGTATGAGGTCAGACTCACGGTCACCCCCAGCGGCACTTGGGTGCTGTGGCCACTGCTTGCAGTGTGCAGTGTAGGGGGTGTCCAGCTCTTGCCCCACCCCGGGGTACAATTTTTGGTTGGCAAACAGGAGCCCCAGAACCCACTGGCCCAGCCATGCTGAGGCTGACCCAGGTCTGAGCCTGGCCCCTGCTTATCCTCTAGGTCTCCTCTGCCTGTCCTTAAAGTGCAGCTGGTGGACAGCAGCAGGTGCCCTGCGAGGTGCTAGGGGGGCGGACAGAAGGTGCCCAGGCAAGGGCTTCACACAGCGAATTCATGAGCCCCGGGGTAACTGCTGTTTACCAAGGAAAGCCACAGTGAGGGGCCAGCACCCTGGCATGGCAGGGTGAGCCAGCGTCCCACACTGAGTCCGGGCTGCTCCACTTCCCATCCAGCTCCCTGCTGAGGATTCTGCGGAAGCAGCGGAAGGTGGCCCAAGTGCCTGGACCCCTGACACCCACATGGGAGACCCAGATGGAGCTCCTGGCCCACGGCTTTGGCCCAGCCCAGCCCTCTGGGGAGTGAACCAGCAGATAGAAGATCTCTCTCTCTCTGTCTCTCTCAACCTCTCTGACACTGTCTTTCAAACAAATGAATAAAATTTAAAAAGGAAGCCCAAGTGAATCAAGAAGTCTAAACCCCAAAGCGGGCTGGTCAGCAAGAGGGCCAGCTGGTGCCAGGCCAATCTGGCAGCGTTTACTCAGGAAGGGGGTGAGGTGGGGGCGGGGCTCACCTGGGGGATCTGCTGGCCCGGATGAACTTGCCCAAGCCCACCTAGCTCCCCACCTGGAAAATCCAGGCCCCCTGTGTTTCCAGGAAAACTGGGGCTCCCTGCCCCCTTAAGACACTTGGCCTATGGCTGTTTCAGGAAGTGGGAGGCGGGACCCCTTCTGTTACCAGGGACAGGATTTGTGCCCAAGGGCTCCACCTTGGTCCCACTGGCCTCCCCTTCTCTCCCTGGCCAAGGCGTGGATGACACCAAGGGTGGTTCTGCCACCTGCCACAGCTCCAGACCTCAGCACCATCGTGAGATGCCTTGGGCAGTGGGCTACCTACCCTACCCCGGCCCCACCTCCTTGTTGAAGGGCGGGGGGGGGGGTATGCAGGGGGAATCACTAGCCCAGCAGCAAGGGGTGGGGGCTGCCCCACCCTCCGGAAGCCCCCTTGGCGAGGGAGGCACCAGCCACACCTCACCTGGTCGAGGAGGCGTGCTTACCTGCCCGCTGTGGGGTCCACGGCAGCAATGCCAGGAGCGCTGTGGCCACGAGGCGCGGGGACCAGCTCTCCATCGGGGGCTGCGCGGCGTCTGTCCCTCCTTCCTCTTGAGATCCCGGGAGGGAAGAGCCGGGCTGGCAGCTGTAGTTCCCCTTTGGGTCCCCAAGAGGCCCCTCCCTACTGGCCTCTGCTTCCTCCAGGCCGCACTGGCCGCCTCCTCCCCAGAACCCCTAGCTCCGCCCAAGCAGGGGGTCAGCGCTTATTCCAGGGGCCATGCAGCGGGACAGCAGCCAGCGACAGAACCAGGCTGCCCAACTCAAGCCCCAGAGGGCTTTGCCCTCCTCGATCCTCTCCCACCAGGGCCTGCCCAGGAGATAGTAGGGGGCACAGGGCTCAGGCTTCCTGAGTAGACGAGGGCTCGGGTCAGCACCTCGGTCCTGAAACCCTTAGCAGTGGCCACGACCACGCTCAGCCAGACTACCCCCCCCCCCCCAGTTCTGGAAACTGCTCGAGGGATCGGCAGAAGCAGGCCTTCTGATGGGGCGGAAGTGGTTGGGAGAATGGGGAAGGGGCAGGGGCGGCGGAGGAGGGGGCAGGCTGGGAGGGAGAAGGGAGGAAGGCACCCACCCCAGCCCTGGCAAGAGCCGAATGCTGCCGGGGCTGCCCGCGCTTGCCCAGCGAGGGCCACCATGGGCCCCCCGAGACACCCAGGGGACACCTCCTCCGGGTGGCTCCTCGACCCCCACCACGAGGAGCGGCTTCCCCATCTGGCTCCTCGCCGCAGCTGGCCGCAGTCCTCGCTCTGTCACAGGGACAGAAGTGGCTGCGCTGGGCCCCTTCTCCGCAGCAGACTGGGACGCCCCCCCGCCCCGTGCAAGCACCCTCCGCACCCTCAGCACCCTGGACATCCTGGAGCCCAGCACGGGGCTGGATGGGGCAGGGGCCGGACCAAGGCGCCGTGGTGCCCGGCAGGCCAGGAGACGAACACCGCTGTCCCGGGGCAGAAGCCTCCAGCCACAAGAGGCGGAGCAGCTTGCCCGGAGCTGGGCACGTCCACAGTGCCAGGGCCCACGCCCCCGGCCGGGGGCTGCCGGAGCCGTCCCTCAGCTGCAGCCCCAGGGACCTTTGCACGCGGACATGGAAAGCCAGCAGGCGAGTGAGGAGGGTGGTGGGCGGAGCCGGCCACCCACCAGACAAGGAAACGAATGTGCACACCACGTGCCGGCGCGGGGGGCGGCGGCACCCGGTGCCATTGACTGTTGATCCATCACGGTGATACATGATCGCACATGTCACAGCGAGACGCTGATCATCTGCCTCCCGCTGTTCCCGGCTCCTGGGGGTAGCAGGTTGTCTAAGCACCTCAGCGCCCCATGGTAGACGGCATCTTGACGCCTCTGCGCTCGGGAGCGTCTCCGCGGGACTTGGGACTGTGAGGCAGGCCTGCCCGCTCCTCCCACACCTGCGCCGCCTGCTGTCACCTGCCCGCCGGGGGCTTCCCGTGCGACTCTGCCCCTGGTGCCCGGAGGCCTCTCATGGCTGGCGGGGAGGTGGGGCGCTGAGCCGGGGTGGCCCCTCCCGAGCCAGAAGAGAAGAGGGTGAGGGCGCCACAGCCTCAGGGCAGGAGCCCAGCAGGCCGAGTCGTCGTGGCTTTCCTTGCCAAGTAGCTGCCAAGTGGGGAAGCTGCCGGCCCTAAGTCCTCGGCAGGAGCTGCCCTCAGCAGGAGCTGCAGATCAAAGACCGTGGAAGGCTGAGGAGGAGCGGAGGAACGGAGGAAGGCTCGTGGGCTCCTCTGGGGCCGGGCCTGGGCGGCTGAGCTTGCAGACGAGGTCCCCAGGGACACTGCCCCCAGCCACCGCCCCACCTGTCCATTGCTGAGGGCAGTGGGGGCCTCCACGTGCCGTGGGAGAGCAGCAACCCCAGCAGACCCGGTGGCCGCTCCAGCCACTTTCAGGTTCCCTGCAATCCAAGGAGGCAGGTGCTCTGACCGCTTCCGTCCTACAGCTGGGGAAACTGAGGCACGGGTAACCACCGCTCCCACCCACCTCCGTGACAGAGAGTGCACCGCACACACGGGGACACAGGGGAAGAAGTGAGTCCCTGGAGGTGGAGGGAGGAGGGGGTGCCCCGGAGGGCTTCCTGGAGGAGGAGGAAGTTGGGTGGGAAAGTGATGCCCCCAGGGACCTCCCTTACATGAGGCTAAAACGTTCCAATGGGAGCACGGTTGCCGGCTCCCTGTTTTCAGTTTAGTTCCACAGACGCTTAGGAGTCCCTGCTGTGTGCCCGGCAGTGGGGGCACGGAACAGATCCACCCAGCAGGCTTTCAAATGCTCAGGGGAGGGTAGTAGAGGGGCCGCAGCCTGGCCTGGGCTCTCTGGCTCCTGTCCAGGCTGCTGCTCTGGGCCAGGCTCCGGAAGCTGAGGGGCCCTGGGGCGAGACCCCTCCACCCCACCCCCACTCCCTCCACCTCCACCCCCACCCCACCCCACCCCCAGTCACTGTGCGCTGGCCTGGAGGCTGACACGGGGGTCGGGGGGGGGGGCTTCCATTCCTCAGTGCTGGGGGTTCCACTGCCCACTGCCTGGGTCCCAGGGGTCCACCCCTGTTTTATTCCCAGCCGGCAGCCTCCCTTCTCTCCTAGGAGCACCCCGGTTTGCAACTGGGGCCCCTCTGGCTCCTCGTGGGCCCTGCAGTTGGGTGGCGCCGCCACCCTGGGAGCCGTGGGAGACTCGGGGTGAGCTCCCCGTCATTGGAGGCAGGCAAGCCCACCTGGAGGCCGCCGGCCCGCTCGCCGCTGTCGGATCCTTCTGGGCCCAGCCGCCTGTGGTGCGGGCTGCCTGTTCCAGGCGGGCTCTGTGCCCACGCCGCGTGGCAGGTGCGGCTCCCGCCAGGCGCGCAGCCCGGCAGAGCGAGGTCCAGCCCGCAGCCGCCGCCGGGAGCCGCAGGACACGGACCAGACCGCGGCGCTCCCCCTGCTCTTGGCTGGAACTGCAGCCTCGATGATGGACAGAAACAGGGCAGAGAGAGGAGCAGAGTCCGGGGTCCTCCCCGCACAGTCGGGCCAGACCTCCGGGCCCGCTCCGGCCCCCGCCCAGCGCCGCCACGCTGAAGACCACCGGGAAGAACCGGGGAAAAACAAAGGCAGCGCCGTCGCCAGCGCTCCCCCCTCGTCCGCCGCGCGCCCAGCCAGTCCGCGGCGGGGAGAGCCAGGCTCGCCGCGGCGGCCGATCGCTGGGGGCTTCCAGGGCCGGAGCCGAAGCCCCCAAGTCCCCGCCCTCGGTGCCGCCCCCAGCCCGGCCGGGCCACGCCAGACGGCCCGGCTTGTCCCTTGGCGACGGCGCCACCTGGCGGCAGGTCTGGGAACTCCCCCTTGCTTCTGCGTTCCCCTCTCGCCGCTCCGGGGCTCCCGGCGAGGTCAGGGCGGGGCGCGCAGGGCCGAAGCGGGGTGCAGCGCGGAACGCCAGGCGCAGGCCGGCTCCAAATGCGCTACGCAGACGGTGGGAGCGGCCCGGGAGTCCGCGTCAGAGCCGGCGTCGGCTGCCGGGCCAGCCAGTCCCCCTCCCTGGTAGACACACCTGGGACTTTCTGGGCAAGGCTCCCCAGGCCAGCTCACCAATTAAGGAAGCAATTAGCCTCCCCCGGGGCCAGTCCGTGCTTCGTTCCGCGGGACACAGCCTTTGTCTCCTGCGGCCGCGGGGGGTGTGTGTGCGGGCCCTGCCCTGAGTGAACTATGGAGGCCCCGGGCCGGGGAGCCTGCATGGTAACACACACTGGCTCTTCCTGCCCGGAGACAGTGCAGGGAGGACCTCCCAACTGTGGGTCGGGTTTGGTCCTCTCCCCCTCCCCCCAGCCCCCTCTCTTCCCCCCACTTCCGCCTCCCTTGGGAAGCAGCAGGTGTCCTGGGAGCAGCAGACGTCTCGCCTTGGTGTTTGTCCCAGCCTTGTCTCCCCAGCCTTCAGGTGGGGGGGGGGAGTGAGGGGTACCCTGTGCAGGGCCCCTGTATCCCTTAGCATGGCGCCTGGTTCTACTGCCTGCTCTGCTTCTGATCCAGCTTCCTGCGAACGTGCACCCTGTGAGACAGCAGGCGAAGGTTCAAGCACTTGGGCCCCTCCGCCCAGGTGGGAGACCCGGATGGCTCCTGGCTCCTGGCTTCTGCCTGGCCCAGCCCGGCTTGTTGTGGGCATCTGGGGAGTGAACCAGCAGGTGGGAGACTTCGCTGCCGCTCTGCCTTTCAAAAAATAAAATAAAAAAGCATCCACGACGTGGGAGTGAGACCCCACCCGCCATGGGTTTGGTGAAGAGCGATGAGGCCCAGCTGATGGCACAGCGGGGGTCGTGCGAGAATCTCCAGGTGCCCTGGAGCACCAGGGCTCGGGGGAGGTGCAGAGGGCTGAGCCAGGCCGGCACAGGAGGGTGGTGCAGATTGGGTGAGGCTGTCTGGGCAAGGCCACAGGCCTGGGAGGGGCAGGGGAGGAGCTTCTCCAGGGGCGCTCCCTCCACCCAGCGCTGCTCATCAGGGGAAGCCGATGTTGGAGCTGGCCCCTGCTGGGGTTCCAGGGGCCTCGCCCCCCACTCGGCCTCGCTCTGCAGGAAAACTCTGCCGGCCTCTGCCGTTCTGCCCTCTCATTTCACACGTCCAGATGTGGCCGCGCTCCCTGGCCGCACCTGGGGTTCCTGCTGGAGCGGGCGGTTTCCTGCAAATGTTGGGCTGAAAACCCCGCCCTGCACAGATGCCCGGGGACAGAGCGCGGGCTGCTTCCCCCGGGGCCGGAAAGGGCAGCGGGAATCCAAGTCTGACCTCCACTATGGGAGCTGGAAACTCCCAGGGTCACGGCCTCCTCCTGCTGGGTGTGGGGCCACTGCCGGGGGCGGGGGACAGAGAGGAAGGGCCCAGGCCCCCCTCCTGGCCACCCTGTAAACGGGGGTGCTGCTGACCAGCAAGCCAGGCTCTGCGCGGGAGGGTGCTTTTCCAAGGCTGAGCAGCCAGCCAGGGGAGTGGGAGTTGAATGCAGTCCCACTGCTGGCTCCTGCTGACGCGGGGCGGGGGGCTTCTGCACGCCCTGCCCGGTGGGGGGCCTCTCCGCACCTCTGCTCCCTGCACGCCCACTGCTCCACCTGCAACAGCCTCCCTCCCAGGTA